TTCTTAACCGGGAGACTGTCCACGTCCAGCCCTACCTCGGGCCCCACGGCCACGCGCCACTCTCCCACGGCCCCTACTCGGTGGATTACCACCAGTAATGCCTAGTCTCATCTGTGCTCTCTGCCTTGCCCTCTCCTGTAGATTAATAGTCGTCGAGCTCCCACTATTCACCGCTTTCCCTCCCGCCGCCTCAGGTGATGATAAAGCGGGTCCCACACTGCTAGTCGATGCATCCTCGTTGGCAGCAGTAGCAGTAGTAGTAGTATTAGCACTAGTAACAGCAGCATTTGAAGAAGACTCCAGAAGATTCTGATCGTTTTCTGCAGACTTCTCAGGTAAACTCTCCTCCTCGTTCCTCTCTTCTTCCTCGATCTCCCCAGCCTCCAACAATCCCACCGGCGAACTCACAGTCACAGGCTCCACGGGAGATTGGTCGGCCGTGGGCCCCACATCGTCACCATCCTCATTACTGTCGGCAATAATAAAGTCCCCAACAACTTCTCCCTCCTCTCTCTCCTGTTCCGTTTGGTCCCTAACCTGATCGTCTGATAAAACCGGCTCCTCGCCAGGCTTCTCTAAACTCTCGTCCGCAGGATCACCGCCGCCAGCTGGCAGCTCGACTGCCGGAACGTGTGACCCGTCTAATTTCGGTTCCTCCGCTTGCTGCTCTCCAGTTTCGGAATCATCCCTTTCGGCCGCCTCGTCTTTTTCTGAATCGACGTCCTTGCTGGCATTCGCCACGTCATCATCCGGAACTTCCTCCATGGGGTCCGCAGACGGTGGTGGTTCCTCGTCACCCTGTTGCTGCTGCTCGTCCTCCGAGGATTTGGATTTTTTCGAGAGAGGCGCCAGCACATCGCGGGGGGTTGTCGTTTCCTCAGGGTGGACGAGCGTCTCGTCTTGAAGGTCGGAGGAAGATGAAGCCGAGGGGCGTTTTCGTCCAAACGCAATTGTTGCTTGTGAAGCCGGTGCCGAGCTCGTTTGGCCTTCCACAGTTGCGGAGTTGGTGGGCTGCTGCTCGTCTGCTTCGGACATGTCCATGTCACCGCCTTGTGGCTGTTGTTGTTGTTGTTGTTCCTTAGGTCTAACGATGCTAGGACGAACCAATTTCCTTCCGAGTTTCACGTTCGACTTTGCTAACGTGAGCCGTTTTTCTTTATCCTCGTTAGTTCTCGGTAGAGGTGGATTATCCGAAGGGGCTTTAGTTGCCTGGTCAGAAGATGGGACATCAGAGAGGGTAGAAGAATCCAGGTCATCACCACAAACAGGTTGAACCACCTGCTCGAAACTCTCGACAGCCTGGACATAAGCCGAGGCGAAATCCTCCAAAATACTAGAATTTGTGATCTCTGACTGAATCTTGTTTCCCGAGCCTTTCAATCTCTCGACCTCTTCCTGAAGGCTCCTCAGAGCTTCCTGGTGCTTCTTCAGCTCGTCGATAAGCTTCGTCCTCTGCTGACTCACCACATCGCGAGACTCGATGACCGTTTTCTTGATCTTCTCTCTCTTGTCTTTCTCCCGTTTGTGATCCTCTCTCTCCTTCTTCAGCTCGTCCCTGTGCTTCTCGAGCGATTTCTCGAGGGTATGTATTTTCCATTCCTTCTCCTTAAGTGTCTGCTCGCTGCTGCCCGAATCTGCCGAGTTAATAATAACCTTCGCCTGCTGCTTGGCTTCCTCTAATTGCTTGGCCATCTCTTGCTTGGTTTCCTCTAATTCCTTCGACAGTTTCTCCTTCTGATTCGTGAGCTCATCCCTATCCTTCAGCGTGTTAGTCAAGGCTTTCCTCCCCCGACTGTATATCTGCTTAAGCTTATCGACCTCAGTTTTCAAGGAAGCCTCAATTTTCGAGAGCTCGGCAATTCTCGACTCCCTCTCAGACAGCTCGGTTTTGATCCTCGCGAGATCCCGCTCTAAGTTCGATACCATTTCCTGCCTATCCGATAATAGTTTCTCCAGATTCGAGAGCGCACTCTCCTTTTCCGCCAGCTGTCTCCTGACTTCCTCCATCTCAGCATCTTTCTGCTGAAGAGAGTCCCTCAGGCGATTATAGTCGTCCAAACTGACCTCCTTCGACTTCTCCACCAGCTCTTCGACTCTTTTCTCGAGATTCAGTTTTTCCATTTTCACCATCTCCATCTCTTTCCTGAAGGTCTCCAGGTAGGCATCCCTCTCTCTTATTACCCTCTCCAAACTCTCGTTTTCCGACCGGGCGTTCTCGAGTGCTTCGCGAAGCTTCTGGCATTCCTCGAAATTGTGCCGATTCTCTTCCCTGAGCTGAATGTTGCTTTCCCGGAGCAAAGTCAGTTCCCTGACCTGAAGCTGAAGGGACTTGAATTCATCCTCGGTGAACAAATTTGCTCGGGATTTCGCGCGTTCGGTTTGGAGTGACGTCTGTGCAGCCTCTGCCGATTTTAGGGAGATCTCCAGCTGGGACTGAAGCCGGATCTTTTCCTGCTTCAGTAAGGAAATCTCGGTCTCGGCTATTTCCTTTGAACGGCGCAGGTAGTTTACCACACTCTGCAGCCCGTCATCATCTGTAAGGCTGTGGGGCCCACTCCCGGAAGCAGTTCCACGTTCTTTCTCGGCTAGTTTGATGTGCAGGGCTTCAAGTCGGCTGTGCAGGATCTTGTTCAGCTCGTTCACCTCGTCGTATTTTTTGTCCGCCTCATTCTTGTAGGCTTCGATTGTAGAGCTCTCGGTCTCCCATTTCGATTTCAGGTTGGCCTGTGAGATGAAATGCCGAGACTTCAGAAATTGCACGCGTAATTAACAGAAGGCAAATTTTGTTTATGCTTACTATTGACTAAGCAGAACTATGAGCACCTTTATATAATGTTCAACCATATTTCATTTTTCTAGCTGATTTCTCAGGGAATCAAGAAGCAACGCTCGTAAATTGCATATGATTTTGGTCATTTCAATACTTAAACCCAGTTATGCATGAAAGGAAGCGCGAAGGGCAAGCAGAAATAAGAAAAGAAGATCTAATATGCTAAAGAAAGGTCATACGTTCTCAGTTTTGAGATGATCCACCACTTTATTGAGCTCGGATGTCTCATTTTGAGCTGAAGCCAAGGCTTGCGACGTTTTTGTTAACTCCTGAATTGTCTCTGACTGTAGAATAACCTGGATAGGAATAAGGAAAACCACATAGAACTAAAGGGTCAAAGTTCTCATCCAGGGCAGTGACATTTAAAACAAGAATATGCCATAAATACGGGGCAAGGTGAGATCAAACTGAAACCAAAAAATAATAAATAATAGATAATAGTTTTAAAATACACTTTAAACAAAAAAAAAAATAAATACTCATATATTATACCCTAAAGAATTGTAACTAAACAACTGGTCATATACCAGTCTCAATTCCTGAAAGCAAACCACCAACAGCACACGGGACAATACAGAAACATGGTGTGTACACGTCGACAGAAACTTGATGCATAGTTTCTATCTGGCTCTGTGGTGGAAATGGCATAAAATGTACACGTCGACAAGAATTTTTTACTCCTTTCTCTTTGTGCGGTAAAATCATGATTAAACTTAGCACTGAAACTCGACGATCTGTACATGAGTAGATGTAGATGGATTCATTTTTATGTAGTTATATTGTTTTCACAGTTTTTCCAGTAAATCTTTTGAGGTGCTTAGGGGTTGTGTGTTTGAGGGTGTGGGGGTGTGGGGGTCAGGGGAGTGGGGTGGAATTCATACAGTAAACCAGGAGCAAATTCATGGACAAGGTATCAAAGTAAAAGGCACAAGCTATTTGATAATTAGCATCTTGCAACAAGAACTTCACCATGAAAGGTCCCAACCAACTTCAACTCGTCTACAGAAGCATTTGGTTTAATCTGATGCTAAACCATCAAAACAAAAACTCAATAACTGTTTGAATACCTACTCAATCAAGACATATTATACAAGATATAACACATAAGACGGAATCCTAGAGCTTTTACCTGTCTTTCGTAATTGTCTTGAGCAGTTCGCCAACGCTGATGTTCGGTCTCCAGATCATCTTTCAAGGCAGATAGTTGAGATTCAAACACCACAATTTGTGACCTAGTGTAAGTCAAGAACAAGCATCTTACAACTCAAGAAAATGTTAAGGTAATATAAAATTGTAATATTTTTATCCGATCATTTTTTTATATCAAAATTAACACGTGATTTTTCCCCGCCATATGATTTAGTCCATTTGCATACCCGGTGAAGTCCCTTTTTGCATAATTTTCAGAATACATCTCCATCTCGTTTTAACCACAGTTAAGTCATTGTCAGTAATACCACCTTCAATTTATTTAGTATTAGTGTTATCATTACCTTCAATTTATTTATTATTAGTATTATCATTAACAACCGATAATTACAATACTGAAATTCTAAGATCCTGTCATCAATTTCAATTAAGTCTTAAGTCTTAGACTTTGGCCTAAATTTCAACTCCATGCATCATCAGATAATTCTACCTTGACGACTTGGCCTCATCTATCTATTCAGAAATTCAACAGTTTCTAAACAGAAATAACGACAAGAAAGCTCACATTTTAGTAGCACAATCATCCTTCAGACTGGCAATCTCAGACAAAGCACCAGCAACAGCATCTTCCTTTCCAGCGGTTGCAGAAAGTGCTTCCTCAGTTTTCAGTTTACATAGACTTTCCAAGTCACTAACACGCTCCCTAAGTGATTGAATCTCACTTTCCAGTGATTTCTTAACTTCGTCAGCCTGTGATGCAAAAGTGATGTAAATTGCACAAGCAGATGATGTAATCAAATTGAAGCAAATATCCATCAACAGTACCTCTTTTCTATAACTCTCATGAGCAAGCTCCATTTGTTTGAGTGCATCTTCATTTACTTGAGCAATGTTCTTGTACTGAAAAGGAAATAAAATGTAAATTTTGAAAACCAGAATTGAAGTAACAAAATAGAACTCGACTACCTGAAGCATATGATCTTTGCTAGCCTGTGCTTCCTCTCTCAATTTTTCAATTTCATCCCGGAACTTCACCAGTAGCTGAAAAAGATCAACAGGTGTACAAGAACCACTGTCTAAGCTGTAGGAAGATGAGTTCGATAATGACTGCAGTGAATACTAATATGTATTATTGAGCATACCTTTTCATTTGAGGATGGACCGCCTTCAGCACCATCAGATTCCTGCATAAAGAGATAAAACTAAAGTAAGTCTCCTGCACCAATCATAAGAAGGATGGCAGGCGTAAGGTACTCAGAAGAGAAAAACAAAATAATAAACAAATAAATAGCTCCAACAAAGAGCATGAAAAACAAAACCAAAACTTGAACTTGGAACCTAATGCAGATAAGTCTCTTCCACAACATCACAGCTATCAAGTCATGTTTTGAAATTGCTTCTTGGCATTTTGTTTCTCATAATTTCGAGTTTCTATGGTCTGTTTTGCTATTTGTGTTTCATTTTTCTTTNATTCCATAATCTTCTCCAAATCTGAGCAACGAGCCTGGACAAAACTTTCACACCACTCAATCAACTATACTACTTAAACATATAGAATATAACACCACAATAAAAGCAACACAGTAATCAAAGAAATCAGAGAAGAGAGATGAATTTTCAAACTCCAGACCTCAGCAACTGCAGCCCTAGACTCAGCAGCTGCTACAGATTGCAAGGCAGTAGTCAATTCTTTACTCAATTCTTCAACTTGCCTAAAGCCATTCTTCAATGAACTTTCACGCTCCCGAGTAAGATTTCGAACATTATCTCGCTCTTCCTGTAGCTGCCTTCTTGCCTCGGCCCATTCTCTCTGCATCAAAACATTCCCACATTAATTTACCACCCAAAAAGATAAGTACATGCAAAATACACAAAGGCAAGGCTTGGAAAGAAGAAATGTCTAGCATTGCTTTAGTAGCACGTAATCAATGTCAAGAAATACACATCCATGAGTATGATATACGACAATTCACAGGAGGAGGATTACCTCAAGTTTGTTGACATACTCATCTTGTTTTCTCCTCTCAATAACTCTGGCTTCCTAAACCATGGAACATCAATAGTTGGAGTATTGAAAACGGCACAGAAACTATTCCTATACTAAATGCAGAGAAACATGTTGCAGAAGGAAAAGCTACCTCTCGCACTTCCTCGGTACTCTGCATGGTGTCCAAACTAGCCTGAAATAAAATTTAACTCAGAAAAGTTGGCATATTTCCCGCCATGAAATAAACTTATTTCATTCATCAATAATTAGTATCACTACCTGCAGCCGGTAAACCCTTTCTGACAAACTACGAACTTCATCAGAAGCTCTCTTCTCAGAGCTCTGCAGTATTTCTTTTTCATGCTTCAAAATCGTCACCTTAGAGAAGCATTTAAAATCCATTTATTACAATTGTTATCTTCAAGCAAGCAAAACAAGAAAGGCGGCAAGAAAAACCTCCATAGTTAACTTCCGAGAGATTTCATTTGCCGAATCAAAAGACTCGGCACTTTCCCGCAGCTTTCTTTGGTAGTCAACAATCAACTGTGAAAACTCAACATTTCTGGATATAACATTGTTATGCTCCTCTCTCTGACATGAACCAGGAAAAAAGTTCATATTAAAACAATTCCTAAGATATCAAAGTGCACTACGTTAATGTGCCAATCCAAATGGTCTAAAAAGTTTTAGGCCACGAAATAAAATACAGTATCAAACATATCAACCTGATGCTCAAATTCCTTCATAAATCTTGAAAGTTTTTCTTGTGCAAACTGCGCTTCCAATGCTAACTTGTCGCGCTCAGATCGTAATAATATTAGGTCATTCCTAGGTGCAACAAACATAAATCGATCAGGGAACCAAAAAGTATAATCAATTGACGGTCACGACAGCGCCATGGCGGAATGGCTTGGCGGATTTTTGACAAACCGTCATGCTAAATTGTGAAGGATGGCGGCTATGGCTGTGCCATAGGCTGCCAAGGCGGCAGCTATGGCGCAATTTTGTCTGCCACCATCCACCATTAATAACTCTGGAACCAAATCTAAAGCTAATGAGTATAAATATAGAATATATCTTAAGAAGAGAGTCCTGCAAAAGCATCATGAAGCTGGACAGGTCTCTTCGCATTATGCTCTTTTCTTGTCAGGAATAATTGTGCTAAGATGTAAGATCAACAGGTGAAATGTCCTATCATGATGTGTCCTACAAAAACGTATAAAAGGAAAATAAGGCTCACCTAGATTTTGCTAAATCATCTTCAAGTTTTTTCAAACGTTCCGAAGCCTGTTCTTGCACCTTTTTTGATGCATCCTGCAAATTGTACATATAATAAGAGAAGGATGAAAGAAACAACTGATAGAAAAACAGCAGATGCATATACATCTCCACAGAGTTTCGTCAATACATACATGATCACTTTCATGTAGAACCACAATTTCCCTGCTTTGTTGTTCTGTAATATCAAACACCAACACATGAGTAACGACACGAAATAACCGGTCCAGACATTGAACATAATCGAAGGTGGGAAAAGCAAATATTCATTGATACATAAGGGAAGTTATCTGCCAGCTTAATAGTTCCTGACAACTTTAAAGTAAAACAATACACAAGTTCTAATTTAGTAGCTCAAATGGTAGTTATGCTATCAACCATAACCAACAAAAAGGGGACAACAGTTCAACTAATGGACACAGAAACCAATATCCTAACTATCCAATTTCTTGTTAGTCAAAAAAGTTCCTCACTACAAGAGAAAGAATTAAGACACCGTTATAGAATTTGATACATTTAGCAAAATTCAAAGGCACTTCCATAGAGAAAACAGCAGCATGAAGCCTTATAAAATTCACAGCAAGGGATACAACATACAGTGAAGGAAGCAATCAAACAAAATACAGATGAAAGGAGGATGAACCTGGAGCTGCAACTTGTGTGCGAGTGGAGGAAGTACGATGTTTGTGTTCCTCATCGTACAATTTCTTGTACATTGCCACCTAATATTCATGTAAGAACAATACGCAAAATCAAAGATACAATCACAGTGCTTGGAAACTATAATCCAGTTTCACATAATCGAATGGAAGACTCACAGAGCTATGAAGTGACTCAATCATTTGGGACTGTTCCTCAGCTCTTTGTAATACTGCTTGGACTTTAGATGTGGTTTCATCCTTTAGCATCTGAAGCTGTCTCTCATGCTTATCCTGGAAATTTTCAAGGAAGTATGAGCTCAAATTTAGTAGTCGTGAAGAAAAACAAACAAAAGAATAAACAGTAAACACAGCTACAAAGGAAATGTGACAATGCCTTCCACTCTGCTTCTTTCTCCTCAATCTGGCCAGAAAGGTTGCGGAGAAGACTCCGTAGCTGGACATTCTGTTCAACTAATCCATTTATGTCCTTAAATGTTAACTGCGAAAAATACCATCTCAATGCCCATCAGTTTTGGGGGTCTAAAATTGGAAGTTTCTACATAGAATGGAATGACAAAACCATTACCAGCCGTTCAGATATGATATCTTCAGAACTGGATGCAGAAAGCGACGGTACAGTGGGACCACCAACCATCTCATCATCCTGATAGCGAGAAACTGATCCGCAACGCAACTGAACATCTCGACATTCTTTTAAGAGAACAGCCACCTGACAAGAAGATAAATGCAGGTACAATACAATTTTAACCATCGCATGCACAAACCAAACAATTAACAAAATGTGTATATGTAAAATCTAGGAGAATTATTATATCAAATTCCTTGCTCGTGGAGCTACGTAGCAGCATCATAACATTAATTTACAAAAACACAATGGAAACTCCCCACATTACCTCTTTCTGGAGGTCCACGATCTCCTTCTGTGCAACATTATAATCGCGCTCCTGCTTCCTTAAGCTTGCCTAAAAAGTAAAGTACAGACCTCAAAGACGGAACTTGCAAGAAACTGATGAGTTTACCCAAATTTTAGAACAGAACACAAACCTTCAGCTCCTGAATGGTCATCTCCAACGCAGAATGTTCAGACAGTGAGCGCTGCAGTTTGTGATCTAAGGCAGAGTAGGCATCAATAAGCTTCTCATGTTCCTCTGCAAAGGAAAGGACGTAAGGTAAATCACTCATTCAACTAACAAAGTAAATGCATGGTGTCTCAAAATATGTTCCTAGGCCATCTCTGGGCTTAATACTAAAAATATTTTAGACCCTAAAGGACAAAAAGGAGGTCTCAAACTTGTTCCTAATCCAGCTGTTGGCTCTTATTAAAAATACTAATTTTTTCCATTTACTACTTTTACATCATTAAAAACAAAGGGTTTCAAAATAAGCATGGCCAAAACGGAATATATGGAGTGTAATTTTAGTAATCAAAGGAGTAATAATGGGGGAAAGGTTAAAATTGGGGAATACGAATTGAGCACATCTAAAAGCTCTAAATATTTCCGATCCATTCTAAAAGATAATGGCAACATAGATAAGGATGTAACACATAGAATTTAATCGGGTTGGAACAAGTGGAGGAGCGCGTCGTCGATACTTTGTGATTGTAAAGTACCAGTGACTTTGAAAGACAAGTTCTATTAACGGCCATTCGACCGACGATGCTTTATGGATCTGAGTGTCGGGCTACTAAATATGAAAATGATCAAAAAATGCGAGTGGCAGAGATGAGAATATTGAGATGTATATGTGGTCATACTAGGTTAGATAAAAGAAATGAAAGTATTGAAATAAAGTTGGGGTAGCGTCCATAGAAGAAAAAATGAGAGAATCACGATTAAGATAGTTTGCACATGTGCGTAGGAGAGACTTTGAGGCTCCGGTGAGATAGGTAGTAAATTAAAATTAAAAACTTAAATTAAAAGGGGAGGGGTAGACCTAAGAAAACTTGAAATGAGACAATAAAAAATGATTTAAAATATCTAAATTTGAATGAGGATATGTGCTTTGATCGAGCACGATGGCGACATGTGATTCATATAGCCGACCCCACTTAGTTGTTGATTAATTGATTGATAATATTCATTTTATGAATATTTTGATCTACAAAATAATTTTTTTTCTTTTATTATTCACTATTCTAACTTTTATTTATCAAATATTTGAAATGCCTTTGTTCAATTATTAAACCTACCCTTCCCAAAAGATGCATGTTTATTTCATACTACTCTAGTGATGTTTATCTTAATTTTAAGTGTCCTTAGTTCATTTAAAAATAATAATAATAATAATAATAATTTTTTAGTTGAACAAAACTAATCAAACAAGTTTGAATTTGGGCCACATAACTAAATAAAATAAATTATTCAATTTGGGCCAAATTCTATGCTAATCCTTCTTTTACTGTCACTTCATTAACACACCTGCCTACAGGTCCCACCACTTACTTATGGGCTCAATTTGAGAACCTATACAAAAAAAGCCCTCCTTTGAGATCTTCTTGGGTTTTCTCAAATTAACACCATGACTGGAACTTACGTCGAAAGGAATGTTTGGGGACCCAAACCTATAGTTCTAAATTTGAGACCCACATCTGGACAAGGCCTAATAGAAACACCAAGAAGCAATTCTAGGACTCACAGGGCTTCACTGATTTTTTCCTACTAGAGCGTACCAGGAAATGCAACCACCAAAGGATTACACATGTTAAAAACCCCAAACCTAGACCAGAAGCTTAGATTTACCAAGAAACCTACATTAACATTAATATAAGTAGTAAACAACATATACGCCTGGATACATGACGCGTGCGCAAAACCAAAGCCTGATAATATATCTGTGCTGCACACTATTAAATGCTTGATAAGTCACAATAAAACATGCTCGCCAACCAGACATGTTTTGTTCTGTAAGCTAATTACTTAACAGAGAACTACCAGGCCTAAATTCAAAACAAATAGGCACATAATATCCTCTTAAGATGATAGAGGTACGACTTGAATCTCACATACCACAGAAGGACAACAACAGAAAAAATTAAATCTTTTTCCAATTTATTCCAGAAGTTCGGAAATAAATCTTCCATCTATCAACATCCTCACACCACTTACAACAGAATGTCAACTTCTTAGTACTTTAAATGACTAAAACTAGATTTGTATGCTGAAATCTGAACAATATCGAGAACAAAATATACTAATACAGAACAATTCCTAACCCTACCGCAATGGCATATGAATCAAAAGTCTTGAAATAGGAATCCTATCATCCTAATGCTGTCAATCCAACACAAAATGCATACCTCGTTCCTCCATGATGACTCCAGCTTTTTCTTCTATTTCATAAAGCACCTATATTGAAATACAAAAGGATACAAAGAGAAACATTACAAAAAACCATTTCTTTAACCAATTATATAACATCCTTTTTCACCGCCAATCACATGAAAATGGAAAAGCAAGAATAAACTTCGTAACTATCTCAATAAAAGTTCAAAAACACCCAACGCATTAAAAAATATCTATGAGCAGAGAATTTTTGGCGACCTTTAAACCATTTAACGTTCTCTATACAATTTCTACAAACATATAACTATGCAGGGACAAATGCAGTCCATACTGTTTATGATGCAACACAGTTCTCTTATCTTCAAACAGAGAGAAGTGTCAAGGACAAAAAATATTATGTCTCAAAATTGCTGATAACTACAAGCACTATTTCAACTTGAATATGGCTCTAATTTTACCCGCCGTTAACTTCTCTCTCCATTTTCTTCCAAAATAATTCTCCAAAAGTTTATCACGACATTAACCTCAAAGGCCAAAACTAAAGGTTGTAGGTGAATTATACGACTGAGTCTAAAATCTCTAACCCATGTGGTATATCTTTTACTAGTAATACATAGAATAGAGCACAAAATTACAATAGAGCACAGAGAACAGGACCATCTCTTGTTCCTAATTGTTAATACTATACTACGCCAACAACAATCAACATAAAGGAATGATGGAGCAACAATTTTACTACTTCATATGTATGGACAAGGGAACAGGCTCATCAGGCAATGTTACTGTATTCAGTTATATCTTATATGGCATAATCCGCATAAACAGGAATGCATGAAGGGACAACTGCAGTATGGTTTTTATATCAAGGAATAGAGCATGATGTTTTGATATATTAATACTAACCCGCTCCAATATAGCTTGTGTTTGCTTTCTTCCTAACTGCTCATGCCTTAGTGCATCAATGGCTTCTTGGTACTTGGCATACATCTTGGCCAGCTTCATAATGCCATATATAAATTATAAGTGAACGGAAATGGGCAAAAAAACTGAATAGTTAATAAACCACAGTTGCACCGAGCTTGTTCTCCCAAAAAAGGGGAGTAAAGTGTTACACCATCTGTCCTACAAGTGCTCAGCGACATTTATTACAAGAATATTACAGTTCTCTGAGATATTTATAACAATAACAAATAACAAAAAACAAGAATACAACTCACAGTCCATCCATCCCTGATGAGTGAAGCAGCTAATGCTGTTCCTGAAACACCAGCTGGAATCATGGGTACAATTGCTCTATCGTCCCCAGCTGCTTCGTTGGCATCAATAGAATTAGACGCTCTAAAAATTAAAACAAAAATAGTAAGCACAAATAAAAGTAGCAGCAGATAAGCATCAGTTTCTAGTAGCAAGCTGGAAACGGTAATCTCTTCATCATTATTTAGGGCATTTAAACATGATAATGAACAAAATTGAAAAAACGTCAGAGACTATATCTCCAATCCTGACCCCATTATACAACGCAAAAACTATCACATCACCAACTACGGAAAGAGTTAGAAAGTCTCTTGCCAATCTTCGCCTAAACTGCACTGAAAGAGTTAGAAAGTAACTCACGGCTCTATTGTAAAACTACTCAGAGGAAGATGATTCAGATCTTTTTGTTTCTTCAAGTTTGTCAATTCTGCTTCAACAGTTTGAAGTTTCTCTGTCAAATCAGCAGACTCCTATCCAGACAAAAAAAATAAAATAAAATAAATAAACAAATAGACAGGACAAGGATAAAATACATAAATAGTTCGGCGTTACAAAAGAAACCAACTAGAAAAGGGCGAGAATATAATGTTAGCCCAGATGCAAAATCAATTGACTTTTAGTCTCTTATCTCTTCAACATTTCCTTCAAACTCACACACCTAAACAGTCAGAAACATACACAGATGTAGACACACACAGACAGAGGGAGATAGGCACAGAGAGGGAGAGGGAGAATGAGTAACTTGTGTTGTTTGTGTTGAGCAGGGTGCAGAACCCTGAATTGTGACATGTAGCAAAATAATTTACTCCTGACACTGTATCGTAGTATTGTTCAATATAACGAAATACTTGAACACTGATCAAAGAGTCATAGTAATCCCTGTTGTTTTTGATATTCAATAAGTTTTCTGATATAAGAATTTCTAGATTCATTTGCTGTGACCATGAACCTTTATGATATTATTATACAAGTCTTATCCAATAAAAAAAGAATAATCAAAATGGCTCAATTAAATTCTAGTGCTTCTTCTATTAGTGAAGTTTCTAGAAAAAAAAAAATATATCAAACGGCGCAATGCACCTTGGGTCGCTACGGAAACAGCCTCCTTGTATAATTACAAGGGTAAGGTCTGCGTACAACTGACCCCCCAGACCCCAACCTGTTGGGAATATACTGGGTATGTTGTTGTTGTTGTTGTAATGTAGAAACTAGAAAATTGAATTCACAAATAATGGACAACTGATCAATCAGTTCCTGCTACAACGTTATACTCCGATCATAGGAAGACAAGCTGGAACTTCAGCAAGTGCAGAGGAGCATAACACCAAATTGAAAATATGAAGTAACGGTTATCATTCTAAAATTATTCAAACGACGCATGAAAACATACAGTAAACACATTTGCCATTTTTGTGAACATCCTCAGATAATAGGACATTCTTCTCACTGATGCGAAGTATTAACAAAGATATTTTGGATTCCCAAAAAAACTGAACGCAATATATTATATACCTTTTCCACTTCTTTCCTTGCAGAGACTTCCTTTTGAAGCTTACTTTCATATTCACTTTCAACTTGATTTAAATGAGTCTGCCAGACATAGAAATATGACATTACTACATACCAAAAGAATCCAACTTAATGAAAAAGCAAGCTATTGCCTCTTTTATTAAGGCTATAGCATACGTGCATGTTTTGGATAAAATAGAACCACAACTTGCACTCACTTCCAAAGCTTTGATCACTCCCTCTAGCTCTCCTGCCTTCTTGGACCATTCCTCAGAACTTTCCTTATATAAATCCAAGAGCTTGGTTACCTATTAAGTAAACAAATAACTCAAACATGAAGCAGATATCAATCTCATAAATACAGAAAATGTTCCTGAATAAATTTAAATATCTTTTTAACAACAATGTTCTACAAATGACTACTACTCAAATTCAAATTTGAGGAAGATAAGAGTATCTCATTTGCCATCATATAATCCCCTTGAATCTAATGACAGCAAACCACACCAAACTCCAAAGAATCCTTCAATAACTTAGAAAGCTGCCAAATAAGTAAGAAGAGCTTGCATATTGCAGGTAGTCAACAATTGCATGGCAGTCAGTGAACTTGGAAGTTAACACCTTTGCATATTGTAATACTGATCAATATTAAAAAAGAAAGNGTCAAACCATATGGGCAACTAATATTCCGAGCAACAATGTGATTATGTGAACAATCCACCCCCAGACTATATTTTCTTTATGAACCACATTCACATGATCAAAAGGGAAGACACCATGAAGAGAATACTTATGAAGCTATACCAAGGACCATCCAATGTATATAAGAAATTAAAGTATAATAACACGGCTATACTTACAGTTGCGATTTCAGCAGTGAAACAAGCCTCTGAAGCTGCAGCAGCATCCTTGGCCGACAACAGTTCCTACAAAAACAATGTAGATAGTAAATAATAAAGGAAACCGAAGAACACAAGTATAGAACTAAAGTAGACTTGGAACAGAAAAATGTGCAAAAAGAACACACTGTTTCATGGGATGCCAGCTTTTCCTCCAACTCTTTCACTCTATCCTTGTGCAAAGTCAAAGAACTGGAGCTCTCCTTCATTTTTTTCTCAAACTGGATCAAGCGAAAAATAACTGATTATGTACAGGACATGACTGCGTAAACATTGAAGTAACAGAACTCTGCAATGTAAATAGGTGAAATTAAACCCTCTATTTAGTACAAAATACAAAGTCATACTTCCATAAGCTTAGATGACATTTCAGCTTCTAGTTCTCCATTTGCTTTGCGCAGCTGGATAAGACTGTCAACCTTAGCAGTTAACTCCTCATTAAGCCAAGTGTTATGCCTCTCAAGAAGCTCCTTTTCCTGCTCAGTTACAAATTATAAACACTATATCATAGAGAAAAGGAGAACTCGACCATTAAGCTAAGGACACAACAAAAGCCTGTTGCTAACTAAGTAAGAGGGGAAAATGCAGATATAATTTCTATTGAGAAAAATATTAATTCTCAATATGTACACATAATATTTCACCTAGTCAAAAGGCGACATATACATTCATATAAAATGTTGTAATCCACAAAATTTTTGGCTTTAACGTGATAGTGATAAAGATTTTATCTGAATATCTTAGAAATCATAGTAAACCTTAGGAGTATTGTAGTAAAAAGTACTATGCACAGAATCGATGAGCACGTCTATGTTGCCCCTACATGGAGGGGCCAAACTGCATACATCTGAAAGTCCCTTATGTTTGCATATACGAATATGTGTCTTGAGAAATAGGAAAGAGCATACAGCACACAACATGGAAATAACTTCAAACTATGAAAACTATAAGTTGACAGCCCATGACTGAAACCACAAATGGGTCACCTGCAAAAGGCGGGAGGATGAAGCCTGCAATCGTCCCAATTCAGCCTCAAGTTCTCCCACGCATGCATCTTTTGAAGCAGCATTTTCAGTCAAATTTACCTTCAAATGAGGTAGTCAAGAAAAGAGTACATAAGTTTGTGGTGCATAAATAGTTACCATCGCAGTACATATGCTCAGATGCATTATTCCCAGAGAACAGTTGTTTAAGAAAATACAGCTGACATCATAATCCAAATGAGATATAGATGTGTATAATAAACGCCAACCACTCCATGAAAAGATAAATAAGAAGCTCATTGAAGGTACATACGTAGAATTTCAACTTACAGCAAATAAAATATACATAGGGGTTACATAAGCAATATAATTTTAGTAACAACCAAGATATAAGATGAACAACAAAATACTTACAATCTTATCATGATAACTCTTAATAGTGACATTTTTCTCGGTAACTTCCAAATCCTTTTGCTCCAAAAGCTCCATCAACTGCCTCTTTGATTTCTGGAGTTCTGAAGCTCCCCGTGTGAGCCTCTCAATCTCCCCATCTTTCTCGATCTTTGATGAAAACAAATTATCAGTAATCATCTAATAGCCGGCCAAGACATACTTTTAAGTACACAAACTTACAGATTCAAGACGAAGCTGCTGCTTCTCGGTTTGGAGCGGACCCAGTTCGGAAGTGCGCTGCTCGAGTGAGGACCTGAGCTCCAAGTGCTGCGACTGGAGGGACGAGTGCTCCTCCGTAAGGGAAACGTACTTCTGCTCGATCAGCGAGCACGTCTGCTCCAGAGTAATGGCAGCGGCATCAGCCTCCGCCTTGACCGTCTCAATCTGGCCGAACAGCTCACGGATAAACGCGTCCGCCTTCTCCGCCACCAGGCCGGCATCGCCCGAGCACCGCTGGAATTCTTCCTCCGATATGAAAAGCGGCATCCCGACCTATTTCCTTCGCTCCCCTTGTTGTGGATTCAGAAAAGCAACGCGAATTGCAATCGCATGCTTCTTCCTCTATTCCGATTTTTCGTCCACCCTTTGTTTCTTAATCCGCTCTCAGAATTCAAGCGGAGTGCCTTGAAATGGATGCTCGCCCTAATAATGATCACGAATTGAAGTGAATCGCACAAGGAATGCAAAGAAAAACCCTAGGGTTTAACGATTAACGATGTGCGCAAGGGAGAGTGTGCCTTCGTTGTGTGGAAATTCGAAATGAGGACGATGGGATTTCTATGTTACAGAAGCTCTTTTCTTTTTTTTTTTTAATCAGAATTTTCCGATCGTTCGAATTCCACATCGGTGTTAAATGGCCCAAACAAATAAACAATTAATGGATGGCCAGAATTGGGCTGGGCTTTTCTTTCAACCCAATTTCATTTCAATAAATGAATTAAAGCCTGTATTACTATTATTTGACCCAAATTCCAGAATTGACGCAACATAAATCATTTGTGATACTAGAGCCCACCATTGAGAAAATTAGAAATAATAAACACCACCTTACCAATATTTGTGAAGTAATATAAGTCCACCAAAAGTCCGGGTAAGAACATAAGTGGATTTCTACTTTATTTTTTACATTTTTTTTTAAATTTCAAGATTTTTTTAAAAAACAGATCAAACATATGAAATATGATCCTAATTTTGAGAGGTTTGATCCTACATTGGATAACACACACTCACACATCCGTTGCCCGTGCGAGAATTTGTTGATTTAATGACCAACTCCATGACTATACTATACTATTAGAATGAAATGTTTTCCTAATTTTTATACGCTGTATATAAGTTGGCAATATTGCTATAAAACCAACTGGTTGGTTCCCTTATGGAACCAACATCCAATTAGACAGCTCCATGTGGGGCTGTCCCACATGGAGCCCATGTTTGACAACCCCACATGGAGCAAAATCATTGGGTGTTGGTTCCATAAGGGAGCCAATCAGTTGGTTTTATAGCAACATTGTATAAGTTGGTGCTCGAATTTGATTAGCTAATCTGACTTAGAATATATTCACACTTCTACTTATCTACCGATCTCCTCGGAACAAATTCCTTTTTACCGATTTCTTGTCTCTCTTGACTTAAATCCGGTCTAATACACATTCTAAATCTTGAGAGATTAATAGTTTGTTGAATCCACGTATAACACAAGCAAATATTGAAATTGGAATCAGTCATATCAGTTGCACTCACATTATTCATAAATAATATGAATAGAAAAAGGATAAATAAATATGACAAGCAAAAACTTAGTCTGAGTCAACAAAAGAAAAGTCCTCGAATGTGCGCTCTAATGTCATTCACGCCATGACTTGTTTACACTTTACATCATGATTACTTCTTGGTTATGTGAGTCGTAAAAGACTAAAGCAGGGATGTTATTTTTTTCAAAAAGGAAAAATTGTTTAGAATATTATATGACCTAGTGATCACTTTATGTAAAAAATCATGATGTGAGATAAGACTATCTTTAACGATGGCCCCATGAGTTGGGTCACCAATTAAAAAAACAAAAAATATATAAAAAAAATAAAAAGAAAAGCAAGGAAGGTCACAAAAAATGAGCGACCTAGGTCACATTGTGACCTTGGGTCGCGACCCGTGTAGTGTTTGGAGTAAGGGACATTTGTCCTATTTTGATTGGATAAGTGTATTTTTTTTGTTTACAAAAATAAAAATGATATTAAAATTCATATTTTTTCATTCTCTACAAATAGAGACCACACTTGATATATTTTGGAATAAAATTGTAATTTTTTAATAAATTAAAATAAAATAAATATTTAGGTTAAGTTGGGTTGGGGATAAAGATAAATTAAGTTGTAAGGTTGAGTTGTGTAGGTGGAGGAGCGAGAAACAATTTTTAATTATTAGGTTGGGTTGGATTGTGTTGGGGATAAGAATAGTCTAAGAAAGGGGAAAAATCTCTGTATGATTTCTTTCTTAAATCAATTTTCTTATATGTGCCCCAAGAAGATCTATTTTTAATTTCTAAAAGAAAATTCAAAAAAACAGACAAATTATAAGCTAGTCATTTAGCCTCCTCGAGACAAATAACAAACTACTAACATAAAAATGATATGTATGGTCAAAACCAGATCAAGAAGCAATATTACCTACATATATTCATTCAAAAATGTAAAACGAAAGTATGATATTTAATAGTATAATTATATATTTTTATTCATATAATACAGTTGATCGACTCGTTTAACTATTAGATTGTCTGACACAATAATTTGTACAATAAATTTTCGATAAATTAATCACAAAAAATTCAAACCACGCAGTACCCTCACCCGTCACTATTTATACTCACCGGCACTATTTATAAGCGAAGTTTTTCCTACTTCTATTGTTATTTTCTATTTAGTCTGTGTTTATGCGCATCAAAACAAAAGAAGTCAATATTTAAGGAAAACCCAAAATTTGCATGTGAAATTATAATGTGGACTAATCCAGATTTTTCTTGAACAAGGATTCATATTCAGACTTGTTTCACCCAATAATCCACTTAATTGATTTAGCTTTTAAGTTATTCTCAATTTGTCAACATGTGACTCTCACCGCAGTTGAAAATGGTACAATATTGTCTTTGAGAAACCGAACTATTTAGTACATGATATACCTTGATTGAAGTTTCAATGTCGCGTTCGTAATCCTGTTAAGACTCGACAATAATCGATAGACCGAGACAAATATTATAGTTTACTCAGGGGTATAAAAATGAATCGAGTCGAGACAAAACCGAACTCGTTAACTAATTAATGAGTTGTCATTAAGGAAACAACTCGTATATCAATAATAAACAAGTTGAACTTGAGCCTTAACGAACCGAGCTAGAAAAATTACATAAAAAAAAAAAAAAAAAATTATACTTTCGAGCTAACCAAATAAGTACTTCGAGCTAACTAAATAAATACTAAATAAGCTCGAGTTCAATTCGTTTATCAAACAAGTCGCGAGCTCACAATCGACTCATTTCTTTTACCAGCCTCTTCCTCTTCCTCCATAGCATCACACAACACCCTCCCTTTAGTCTCCGGCAGCCAAACCACAAACAATCCGCACACCAAAATTGTGACTCCAAACACGCCGTACGGCACGAACCCCTTCTCCCCATTAGCCGCCACCGCCACCACCACCGGTCCTAGAAACCCGCCGAGCAAAAGCGCTGCCCTCAACACCGACACGGCAAAGTTCCTCACGCACGTCGGAAAAAGCTCGAGCACGTACACAAAGATCACGTCGAAGGCCATACCGGCCCCGAAAAACGAAAGTAACTCCAATCCCATCTTCAACCACCCCGCGTCAGGCCCCACCAAAACCACCCCGGCCACGTTGCAAACCCCGCTCAGCACACACAACCCGACCATTAACACCTTCCTCCTCATCCTCCCAATCATGGGAAGCAGGGCTGCAGACGAGAGGAGCCCGGAAAGCGCGTTCATCCCGACACTCAAGTATAGATTGACGGGTAAACTCCCGAGGCCCAACGGCATCCCGTAGTATGCCAGCCCGACCCCAAAGCCCGCCACCGTGCTTATTAACAGACGATGAATGGCCCACTTCTTCTCGAACAATATCTTGACCGCCGAGTAAAAGCGATGCGCCTCCTGCGATTCTTCCGTCCACTCCAAACAATCCACAGACAAATCTTTCGTCGAACGCGCGAGGCTCTTCAAGGTTTCTGCAAACTCTCGTTTCCTCCCCTTTATGAAAAGCCATCTTGGGGACTCGTGGGCAGAGAAGTAGACCAACACAGAGTAACAAACGCACGGACCGCAAGTGCAAAGGTACATGAACCTCCACGACGAGCCTCGAAGCAAATAAGCCATGATCGGTAAGGATAGAAACCCTAGGGCGAAGCACAAGAAGCCGAATATCCCGACTTTTCCTCTCCATTTCCGCCCGACGAGCTCGCTCCCGAGGACGAACGCGCACGTCCCAATTGGGGCCCGCCCGAGCCCGCTCGCGAACCTTAACCCGACATACATCCATATGTTTTGGGAAACTGCAGATAGGCACCCGAAGATGGACATGACGAGGCAGGACAAGACAAGCATGTTCTTCCGGCCCAACCTTGAGTCAGCCAACGTAGCCAGGCCCAACCCGCCTATGAGACAACCCAAGTAGAAGGACGATGCAGGTAGACCACGGAGGATCGGGCCTGCACACTGGAGGGACCACTGTGATATAGTAGATGTGCGCGCGGGGGAATCCCACGACCACGAGGTCTCGGGTAGCCGGCACAAGTTCGTTTCGGCGTGGCACGGTTTTGTGCAACTCCATTTGGGGAAGGCGTCGGTGAAGATGGTGATGAAATTTTGTTGGGCGTCGAAAAACCACGCGAACGAGACAAGGGCAAAATGGAAAATTTGGGTCCGGTTGATGTCGCCGATGTAGTGCTCGATTGCGTCGTTGAGGGGGCGGGGATGGTGCTTGGCCGCCGCGGGAGCCGGCAGCGGCGGTGTGGTTGGTGGGTTTTGTGGTGTCATATTAATGTTTAATTTGATGTGTATAGTAAAACTCACTCGCTAAATTTTGTAGCTGGTTGATAAAATATTTCATGGGTTGGCTGGTTATTATATATTGTCAAAAGGCAAAACATTTAAGACTTTATAGTATATTGTGTTTTTATTTTTAAGGGAAGTCTTGTTTTCAGGGAGTAGGACTCATGACTACGAACATGAGTTGATTTCTCAGTGGAGTGGCGGCGTGGAGTTGTTTCTAGGTTTATGTTGTCAAATGTCACTTTTATATAAAATTAAATTATTTTAGTTTTTAAAAAATAAAAAATTTGATATTTTTTATAAAAGTTTCTAATTCAACACCCGTGTAATACACTTGTACTAGTATATATATATAACAATATGGATATCAAATAATATTAAAAACTTCAAGACATATCCCCTCAATATATAATTTCAGAATGCGTTGAGTCTACGTCACAAACTCTCATGTTTTAGAACCTATTTATCATAATATATTCCTTCCAAAGTAGTTACAGTGTGTGATGCCTTAAAATTATGAACCTATTTATTATAATAACTAGTGCTTAGCTCGTGCGATGCACGGGACACATATATTAATTGAGTCATATATATGGCTTGTACGATTTTGGCAAAAAATAATAGGGTTGGATCATTAATTTTCCATTTCTTTCAATCAGTGATATTTATTTTAGTCATAACATTGACATGATATTACTATATCATTCTGCTAACACGTTATATTGATATAAATTTGATTCTGCAACATATATT